AACAGCAAAATCTGCGGTTCGGATCGGATCCGACGGTGTCAGTGCGGATTTCGGTCGGTTTCGGTTAGGAACCGTAGAATTCGAGTCGGATCGGATCGGTCTCTGTTGTAAAACTGTTCCTGCGGATCGGATGCGGTCGGATTTACTTGATTGAAAAAAATCAGATAAATCTGCATTGAAATTTTGGGATGAGCCGAAGGAGGTAAGAAAGATTGCTCGCTTGCCAATTATGCACTGAGAAAAGAATACGGCTGGCTCTGGGATCCAGAAATGTCAATTCCACGTCCAGATAATAGATGTTTATGTGAATGGAATGGAGAAAGAAGGTAGCAGTTCTGCCACCGGAAGACACACTTCCTGCTCGAGTCTCTCCCCCCCCCCTCCTGTCTTAAAATTTATTTTTCCTGACCTACTGCAGTATTGCGTTGGATTTCTCCGTGCCTAGTGGTCTTTGAACTCCCGCTGTGTGCACCATCTCGATGCAAAATAACAATTACGTGTAGCAAATTGACTTGTGAACAGCCGCCGCACGAATCTGAACATTCCATAATGTTCTATCGCTCTGCGAAGTACAAGTTTCAGTAGAAAATTTATGATTTTTCCGGATAACCGCGGATAGGATCGGACTCGTGCGAGAAAAATTGAATCGGCTTCGGTTCGGATTCGGATTTGTTTGCTTCTAACCGGATCGGTTCGGTTCAGTTAGGGTGGAATGCGAGTCGGAATCGGATCGGATCGAACTCGGAAAAGGCAGTCCGAACTCACCTCTGATATGGACCAACCGGACCTTCGTGTTGGGGGGGGGGGGGGTATGATTCCCATACATCCTTGGGCACGCCACTGGTCACCACACAGCATAAGGCTATCCAACGAACGACGCTGTAGGCCAACAGCTTGCCGGGTGGGCGTTGTCACAGGACCACTGCCTGTTTGATGCGAAACAAAAGGGTACCTTCCGGTCAGCTCGATGGGAGAAAGAGGATACGCACGACCTAAGTTTTGCGTCCACGAACTCCAGACGATCGGGACTCATCGCATCTCGAACTGTCCCGGACCCCTTCCCGCCCGATCGGCACGGGCCGGTGGTGGTACGCATCGACCTCGAGCTCCCCGTCTTTACCGACGTACCAGCACCACGCTGGAACCCGAGACGGGCGTACCGGCCGGGTTTCTCCGCCACCTTCGAAGAAACCATCGGCAGAATGCCACCTAAGCCAGAAAACTTCGATTGCTCTACGAAGCTCATCATCGAAGCCTCGAAGAACATCTCCCGCAGCTACAGGGGCTTCTTCACGCCATGCTGGAGCCCAGAGAGCGAGTCGCTCCTGGTAGTACGAGGCGACCCGGACTTAGCCACTGCTCTCCTGGAGTCATTGAACTCCAAGATGGCAACGATGAACGGAGACGGTGAAGGTCATGGACTTGACCCACGCAAGCCGTAAAGCATGAGCCATCGTGACCCGTTCGCTCTCGGGCCGAGTGGGCGCGACTGGATGGCGGCACTATTAACGGTTGTCATCAGAGCCGAAAAACTCCCAACAGTCTGAAAATGATCAAGGTCATTGCCGATTTAAAGCCCGGAAAGCCGCCCAATGACACCAAAAGTTACCGCTCTATATCGCTCCTATGCACAACATACCAGGTACAAGTGTAAAAGAGAGGGAGTGAAAAATAGAGGGAAACTGCTGTAGTTAATGCTTGCTTCTTTTGAAGAGTGCATTCTAAATAATAGAAAATTAAGCGAATTTGCTCAGAGCAAAAACTGAAGTTAATTTTTTTTTCAAAACCAAGAGAGTAAAATCGCTAACTAACTTACTCCAATTTTTGAGAAAAACAATTTATTGTAGAGAGTTTGGAAGGAAAAAAAAAAACTCCTTTCTCCGCATCGCGCTTTGAAAAAGTGAATATTTCGCTCAGAAGAGAGTAGTAAGCGATTATACTCTCTTGTTTTAGAGGATAAAATTCACTAACTCCAGTTTTACTCTCACCGAGCAAAGTCGCTTGCATTTAATAAGTGTGCAAAGAGAGCCAAAGCGAAATAGAACGAGACGATTCGAAAGAATTCAAGCAAACAGTTAACACACCTATTATTTTAGTCCCGGTGAAATAAAATGTGATCTTTTTTAAATTTGCGTTTCAGATAAATAGCAAAACAGGGCATGAAGAGTTACGTGACACGAGCTTGGTGACCCAGAAAGAGTCGGCTTTGGAGCGGGGTGATTGAATCACTCCCTCTCATTAGCGGTGTCATATCAATTCGGTAGAAGCCATAGGAAATGGGACACCTCGGGCTCTTTGATCAGGGAACCGTTAATGTATCTCATCAACTTCTCTCGATAATTCTATTCCGATCCTCGTATCTTCGCCATCGAGACTCCCACCCATAAATTATGGAGTACGTAGGAGAGACCCCAAAGAAGTTCTCGGTCCGATCAACTCTAGCCTCAATCGATTTTTCAGCATAGTCGCCCTTAATAGCAATGCATTCTCATCCTTTAAGAATTTCCATTCCCATTTTTAAGGAATCTTTCTCGAACCCCCCTTCGGTCTCGCACTTTACCGATTTGTCACCCTGAAATGTCATCCCAAGCATGAACTCCTTTAGGTGTCGAAGCAAGTGAAATTGACCGGGTGTCAAGTCGGGTGAATAAGGAGAGTGCAGGAATTTCCGCCATGGAGGGCGACCCGTGCCTCGTTCACCTTGTGGGCTGGTGCATTGCCATGGCAGAATGAGGACCCTCTTCCTCAACTTTCCTCGGCGCTGCTTCCGGATGGATTCACGCAATCTGTCTCGTAATGCAGCATAGCACGATATCGGTCCGCGAGGGGACCGTTATGGGGTACATAGTCGATGCGAATGACTCCCAAAGCGTCCCAGATAATCGTCGCCAACACTTTGTCAGCCGAACATGAGTCTGAAACTTCCCGGGTGGCAGATAATCTTTATGCCTTCACTGCATCGACTGCTGCTTGGATTCTGAGTTCCAGTGGTCCAGCCGGATTCCATCCCCAGTAAACTATCCGTGGAGAAAGGTCTGCTGGATCTACCTTAGACCTGTTGAAATTCTGTTGACTCATTATCAGCACCGTACAGAGGATACTTGTGCGAGATATCAATCCAGTGCGCATCCCCCCCCCCCCCCCCCCCCCCCCCCCCACCCCCCCCCCCCCCCCCCCCCCCCCCCCC